TTACATTATGTTATTGTCATTTTATTATTTTATTGTATCTAGTTTTTTTTTAGTGTTCACCCGACCATCCTGTCCCTGTATAAAAAACTTAATTTTGAAATCACACTAATATAAACTTGTATTCTAAAATCATATGGTACTACAGAACTCCATTCACTATTCACTTGGAATATGCAAAAGAGGAATGTGTCAACCAAACATTACTTAAGTTAAGAAACAGTTTAAACAGTTGCTTACAGCTATTTTTCATTAATGTAGAATGAGTTCATCATTAGTTTCAGAAATACAGTGTCTAATTTTAGTAACTGTAAGACATGAAAAGTAGAGCTGGATGATTAAGTTGCTTACCTATTGTCAGGTAAAATAATCATTTAACTGAAATCACAAGTAAATCAACCAATGAAAATTATGATCAAATTGATCAATGTCACAAAAATAAACTAATCAGAATTAGTGTTTCTAATTACTCCACCTATTTAAGTAACTGAAATATTAGATAATACTACTTTGATTGATATGTTTGTTTGCTATGATATTCATACATTCTATTTGTACAAAACTCCCATTGGTTATGTAACCACCCATAATAATGCTTGTTGTTTGTGTTTACCTTGTATGTCAAAATAATAGTGCAAGTCTAACTTAATATACTGCTTACTTACTACAAGCTACAAATGTCACCAGTGTTAGTTAGTGTAAGCCTGCTTTAATAAAAAAAGTTAATACTTATACATCTTTCTCATAAAAACAAAAGTTTATTGCTGAATAATTTAACTGTTTTCATCAGAAATGAGTAGATATGAACTAACAACGGTAAAAATATGTAATACTGGTAACCTATTTACACAAACAAGACTCTTGTTTAATTATGACTAGTTCTAGCTAGATAGGAAGCATTGCAAATAGACAACTAAAGACTAGCTACCTGTAATCATGTGCTACCTAACTACTGCCTAGTGTGGAAAACTTTAAGTTCTTTGATTTTTCAGCATACATGCATGTTTAGACAATTTATTCCAGCTTGTATAGTAAAATGTAAATGTGTTAATAATCTTGAGATTCTTTCCCAAATGTTCATCCATATAAACAACTTCACACTTAAAAGCTTGAGGTTTTTTATATTTATAAAGTTGTAATTATTTTTTAAGCTTTTGATGCTGATGATGGAATTAGAAATAAATTCCAAAATGTTTGATATTAAAGGTTTTCCATTTTAATATTTCAATTTCCACCTTATGAATCATTTTAATATTTGCAAAGAAGTTATTTAGCATCATCACAAGTTTTCTTGACAAATAGTAAACATTGCACTGTCTTTGTTTTTCTAGAATTCGTGTGAATTTGTTTTAAGTTATATATTATCTATTAAACACTATAATCTTTACTACTTTTATCACACAAAATATTAAAAACAATTAATTTCAATAAAGAACTAATTTATGTAGTTTTTGTAGTCTTGTTAAAATTTAGAAGGAGAAACACATGGAATGGTATTAATCATATTTTCAGCTTGTTGCAGATTTTGTACTATGCACTACATTGTGCATGATACATTTTTGTGTACAACAATTTAGGCTTACAAAAAGTAACTTAATCCTAAATTGTTGTATTTGAAAACATTTATCAAACTAGCAGAAACACCACCCTTTGGGCAGTTGTTTGTGATAGTAATTACTAATCGTAGTATTCATACCTAATTGAAATAAATTTATTAAAGTGAACATTTTCTAAAAAAAAATTTTTTTCTGGGAAGTAATGCATGGGAAAAGTGTTTGGATTGTGCTCTTTAGTCATACGCAACTCACTGCATCAAAATGATTCAATGTACAGAGCTCAAATTTTTTATCAATTTTACTGATATAAACTGTAATGTTTTTATAAAGAAAAAGTGGTACCGCTTATTGAAAAAAAAGAATAGTTTTTTTTAAGAAGTCCAGTTTCTCAGTACAACATTTTAAAATTACAACAATGAAGATTTAATCAAACCTTCACACACAATCATAGTGACAGTTGTGTTCTTGTTGTGAGAAGGGTAATTTTATTTAAAATTATGTTCTACTATAAAGAAATGGTTGTCACACATATCACAGTTATGTTTCTAATTGTCTGAATCTTGACCACCCAAAGTGTGAAATTTTTTATGGATTTTTGTTTGTGGTGTCATTCTATAGATGTCAGGAGTTTTGGTTACATACATGGATACTGGCATACATGCTACATCCATTATAGTAAGAATATTAAAAAAGGGTTACTTCTGTGTTGGTAATGGTCATGATTCAATTCTGGGTCTTCTTGATAGAAAGGATGGAGTGTTATCTACTCCACTGAGGTCTCCCCCATTAGAACTTGAATCTACATATTTGAGTCAAATCTTGGACTTTGGTAACTGTATAGACTACTAACCATGACAACAACTGATATCCAATCACCACAACCTTACTGCAAGTACTTAATGACCTGGTATGACCCTGGACTTTGTAAAGAACTAAGGCATGTATAAGAACTTAACTGTAAGTTATTTAACATAATTCTAAAAGAACTTAAGGTTAAATTTCCTATCAACCCCCCACGATGTTACAAAATAGCTCAGAAGCTTGATAAAGTCATGCTCCAAGACAGGATCAAACATCACCATTTAAAAGAAACACAAGGTATAGAATAACAATGATCTCTATCATTATATAGATAATACAACAGACAACACAAATTATTAAGATACACACAGCTGTTCAAACTACATACCAATACATATGCATGTATAATAAGCCACATAATAAAACTACATCCAATCATTGATTCTTAAAATAAGAGCCTCCTTACATTATAGACACACATAAGTCACAGTAATAAACTTATGCAAACAACAATTAACAGAATCCTATGTTAATTACGTTTGTAGCTTTGAGTGTATTTCCAGCTAACTCTTCCCATTATACCTCAACAGTATAAAGACAAGTATCATAGACTACCTAATTTGGAGAATCAACACAATTTGTCATACTGAAGAAACTAAGAAGGAAGAATACATCATTAAAACCATCCTTAATAATGGATATCCAGAACACTTGATAAAGGGGTTAAACACCACAAATAAGCTGTATTCCCTTATGTCAGAGGTCTCCCTGAAAACATACAGAGAATATGTGAACAGCATAAAGTCAGAGATGTATTCAGAAACCACAACACAAAATAATTATAGTTAGTACACACTAAATCACCTAAAGACACAGTAGAGAGAAAAAAACATTTATAACATCTTCTAACAAAAGTCAGAATTCAGCAGCATAATAGTCAAACAAAACTCAGCATACCAATCTATCTGCAATAATAGCTCATCATGCCAAAGAAGACTATAAAATAAAATAAAAATAACACTAAAATAAGAGGATGTAAACCATATATAAGAAAAGAAGAAGCCTTCTACATCCACTTAAATTGGTAACATACTTAGTCAAAGAAGCATAGAAGTCAGCAAAACATGAATACCCCTACTGAAAACCCTGGGCAAATTACGGAAGGGGTTAAACCATAATAAAGTACATTTATATTCAAACAAACTTTATTCTGCTTATTCTTGAGCAGCTTAACTTTATATATTAATCTTTATTATTTATCTATTTTCAGTCTTCTAGTATTTATTCAATGATTTTGAAGCATTAGATAATTAGAAGAACAAAAATATTCTCTTGCAAGTTAATTTAAAGGTAATGTAATCTGTTATGAGTGTAAAATTGAGACTTGTATCTATATATTTAATTTAACCCTTTCGAGATGGGTCATAGGTGAAAGGCCATGTCATCTCTTTTGTTGACTCGCATTAAAAATTTTATTGAACT